AAAAAAAAAAAAAAAAAAAAAATGAGGTTGAAAAGACAAGTGTTTTCTCCTCAAAATAAAAAACAAGGAAAAGAAATATTTTTCTTGCTGAGCAAAAATCCCCCTATCTCTGTGTGTATAAGCTGCTGGGCATCTTGGAGAGATGTAAGGAATCAGGAATATCAACTTTTCAGAGAAAATTTAGAGAATGTGAGCCACAAATAATGGCTGGAGTCCTTCCGAGTTGAGCTTTTACATGTTATGAAATAAAGTCAGCATTACTTTAACTTCTCATCAGCTGATTTTATTTTCTAAAGAAAAATAATAGACTAAAATTCATACCCAATGAAAAGGCCATTGTATCCACTTACTGAAAGCTGGGAGTGAGCAGCTGGGATCTGCCTTTGAGCTGGGTTTTCCTGCATAACAGGTTTATTAACAGAGCAGCGTGACTCATGAGCAGTGTGCTTCAGAATCACCCCCCAACTATACAGCCTGGAACCATGATAAACACATGGTGAGGAGGATGGATCACAAAATAAACTGTGGAAAGACTCAGGCTACAATTCCATGCTTCAAATAAAACAACAAACGAGGTTGTTATATGCATGAAGCTCCAGGCAAGAGACCTGGAAGAAGGCACCAAATCTGAAAAGGTGATTCAGAAAGTCTGCTGGGTCATGCCAGCCACCCTCCTACAATCACTCATGGACATACGGACTTCCCTTGAGACAGGAGGGCCCCGGACTGAGTCACTGGGATATGTTGTAGGGAACATAGGAGGGCAGAGAAAGCTAAAGCCATTCCGTAAGCTCCTGCAGAGAAGGCCCCTTGAGGTGGTGGAGAGATGAGGTGCCCCGCACGGTCCGCAACACCAGTGCAGGTGGGAAAGGATATGGAATGAGGCAATGCATCCAAAGGCCTTTGGACCCAGCTGCTGGGAAACAACTCTCAAATTTCTCCAAAGGGAAACTTCAAGGGCCAGATTATTCAGAGAGATTGACAAGGGACCTGGTGGGAATACTGCAGAAATGGACTTCTCCTTTGCATGGCCTGGCCCTCTGTATTTGCCTTCCCTTTGCTTTTCCACTCATCTTATACAGCGTTGCAACAGGAGGGAGCTCTCCCCGCTAGCCAGGCAGCGGCAAGAGTGTCTCTGCAGGTAGCCAAGGTGACGCTGGCAGCCAGGGAGGCAGCAGTTGGGACAGCTCTGGCAAGAACATCTCACTGGCTGCCCCGGGAGAGGGCCTGGGCCCTGGGCCAGGACATGGATAGGCCTGGATCATTCTGCTGATTGAGCCAAACAGCATTAAAAATAATTGCAGAATGGAAATGACTTTGGTGCATTTTTTCTGGCAATAAAAAAAATACAGATATATCAGGGGAAAAAATGCTGAAAATGTCTAAGAAGAAAATTAAATTTCCCTATTAATTTTCCCATCACATGTTTGTATAATAATAAAGAGGTCATTAAAAAATTTAATTATATAAATTATCTGGGAATATCTTCTTATTAAAAAAATCTCTGCACAGAAAAATGTCACCTTTACTCCCCTGCAATTCTTTTCCCCTCACCAAATTTAAGCTCTATTATTGGTTTAAAATGTACAGACCAACATTTGTCCTTGTGGCTTTGCATAGTTACACACACATGATAGACAGATAGATATTAAGAGATATAGTTTTGTGTTCATGTGTTTTTTTATTATTATTATTAATTTTTTTCTTTTTAGAGACAGGATCTCACTCTGTCACCCAAGCTGGAATGCAGAGGTGTTATCATAACTCACTGCATCCTTGAACTCCTGGGCATAAGAGATTCTCCCACCTCAACCTCCCAAGTAGTTGGATTACAGGTGCCAGTCACCACACCCGGCTAATTTTTTTGTATTTTTAGTAGAGACAGGGTTTCACTCTGTTGCCCAGGCTGGTCTGGAACTCCTGAACTCATGATCCGCCCACCTCGGCCTCCCAAAGTCCTGGGATTACAGGAATGAGCCATGGCGCCTGGCCTGTTTGTAATTTTTATAACTAATTTTTAATTCTTGTCATTGCTTGGGTTAGGTTTGGAAGCATAATGCTAACTGGTGGCCATCCTTATCTTGTTCCTGACTTTAGTGGAAAAGCTTCTAATATTCCATCACCTCTTCTGCGCTTTATGCTAGGCTTCTGGCAGATATCCTTCAATATGTCAAATAAATCTCTTGTCTTATTTTTGTAAGAGTTTTCATCAGTGGTAGGTATTTAGTTTCATTGACTAGGTGTTCCCCTCCTTTGATTTGTTAATGTGGTAAATTATATTAATGGATTTTCTAATGCCAAACTATCCTGGCCTTCTACGATACATTCTGCTCAGCCATGAGATTTGTTCTCTGGACCCACTGCTAGACATGGCTTATTAGTCATTTACTTAGGTTTGTTACATTTCTTTTCACAAAGGAGATAGGCCTATGTTTCATTTTGGTTTTGTGTTTGTGATATCCTGGGCCAATTTTCACCCCAAAATAAAGAATAAATTGGGACTCTTCCCTTCTTTGCCTTTTCTCTAAACAAGTTATATAAGGCAAGACTTACCTTTCTTAAAGCTTTGATAGTATTGGCCTGAGAAACCAGCAGATCCTTAGACCTGATCTTTTCTTTTTTAGACAGAGTTTTCTCTCGTTGCCTAGGCCGGAGTGCAATGGCATGATCTCAGCACACCGCAACCTCCGCCTCCTAGGTTCAAGTGATTATCCTGCCTCAGCCTCCCAAGTAGCTAGGATTACAGGCATGTGCCACCAAGCCCAGCTAATTTTGTATTTTTCTTTTAGTAGAGACAGGATTTCTCCATGTTGATCAGGCTGTTCTCGAACTCCTGACCTCAGGTGATCTGCCCACCTCGGCCTCCCAAAGTGCTGGGATTTCAGACGTGAGCCACCGCTCTCGGCCTATACCCAATCTTAAACATAAATCTAACAGTCGGCCCTAAACTAATTTTTATATTTTCTTTTCTTCTTCTCAAGTTTTCTATTTCTCGAGTCAATTTTGGCACTTTGCCTTTTTTTTTCTAGAAAGTCATGCATTTTACGTAGATTTTAAATATAGGGGACGTGATACTCTACATAATAGTTTCTATTCCCTAATGCTAAAAATATGCCATCTGCACCTATAGTTTAATTATCTTGTGCCAAAGATAATTAAATTGTGACTTCTTTTGTATTTACGCAGACTTGCCACCAGAAATATATGTATGTATTTTTTTTAACAGGTCTTTTCAAAGATCTCAATTCTAACTGATATAAGATGAGCTCTCTACTAAGAAATCTGAGTGGCCTTGATGATCACCTTATCTAAAGTAGTTTGCCGCCCCACTTGCCCTCATCGTCTATCCTTTTTCTGTTCTGTATGATTTTTAAAGCACTTATCAGCAACTGACATATTGTATATTTGTTTATTGTCTCTTTACCTGTAATAGAATATATGCTCCATGAGTGCAAGTACTTTGTTTTCTTCAACGCTGAATTGCCAGTGGATTTTTTGAATATCGCTTGGCATACAGATGATAAACACTAAATATTTGTTGAAGTTGTTGATTGAAGTAATGGTTCTTTCATTGAGGATTTTGTTATTATTATTTTTTTGTCTACTCCGTGAATTTTATTGCTTAGATTTTAGTTGTTCTTATTGCGTTTGGCATTTCATTCTCATAGTTTCTTCCCACCACTTTCCTGAAGCTGCTTTCACCAAGGTGACCAAGGAATCTCACATTGCTAAATCCAATGGCCAATTCTAAATCCTCATCTCATAGAACATGGTCAGTCATGTCTTCTCTTCACTTTGAAAAACTTTACTTACTGTGCTTCCAGAATCCCACACACTCTTCCTGATTTCCCACCTACCTATCTGGCTGTTGCTTTTCACACTCCTTTGCTGGTTCCTCCTCATCTCCTGACCTCTAACCTCCAGGATCCCCATGCATACTCAATTCTTAGACTTCTCTTTACTCTCTACACTAATTCCTTTAGTTTTCTGATTCAGTTTCATGACTTTAAATATCTTCTCTCTGCTGTTGGTACCCAAATCTACGGCTATCCTTGACCTCTCTCCAGAGCTTCAGACTTGTAGACGCAACTTTCTATTCAACACTTGTCCTTGGATGTTTCGTAGACATCTCTACCTCCCATACTTAAAACAGAAATCTTGAGATTCCCTCCCCCAACAAAATCAGCTTTACCTCCAATCTTCCCCATCTTGTAAATGTCAATTTTATTTTTCCAGCTATTCAGGACAAAAATCTTCAGATTTATCCTTCTCTCTTCTCTTGCATATCCCACATCAGCAAATTCTGTTGGTTCTACCCTCAAAATATACCCAGAATCCTCTTATTGCTCATTACCTCCATTGCTATCACCCTCGTCGAATTCACCATCACCTCTAAACTAGATTATTGCAGCGGTCTCTTGGCTGGTCTCTCTGCTTCTGCTGTTCTCAGCACAGCCGTGAAAACGATCTTGTTAAACCGTAGGTCAGTTTATGCCACTTCCTTGCCAAAATTCTCCAAGGCTTCCCTTTACTCTCTTAGTGAAGCTGTATCCTTATGGAGGATTTGTAGAGATCCTGTGGGATCTGTCCTCTGGTTGCCCTTCCTGACCTCATCTGACCTGCTCCACTGTATCCTCACGTGTTCCCCTTCTTGCCGTGTTGGCCTCCGTATCCTTCCTTGAACAAACCAGGCACATCCTATCACATTTATTCTTCCCTCTATTTAGAATGCTCTTTCTTCAAGAATTGAAGTGGCTTTCCCATCACTGCCTTCTGTTCTCTCCTCAGATGTAACCTCCTCAGTGAGGTCTTCCCTGACCGGCCTGTCTAAAATTACCAGATGCCCCGCCATCCTTTCAGTTCTCTTTTTTCCTTTATTTTTCTCGTAGCACTTCTCACCACTTATCATACTCCAGCTTTCACTTGTTTATCTTATTTACTTTCTGTTTTCTCCAATTAAACATAAGCTCCACAAGAACAGGGATCAGGGATTTTTATTTTCTTATTTATTTTTTCTGAGATGCAGTCTTGCTGTTGTCACCCAGGCTGGAGTGCAATGGTGTGATCTTGGCTCACTGCAACCTCTGCCTCCTGGGTTCAAGCAATTCTGCTGCCTCAGCCTCCAGAAGAGCTGGGATTACAGGTGCCCACCACCATGACCAATTAATGTTTTTGTATTTTTAGTAGAGACGGGATTTCACCATGTTAATCATGCTGGCCTTGAACTCCTGACCTCAGGTGATCCCCTCGCCTTGGCCTCTCAAAGTGCTGCGATTACAGGCGTGAGCCATCATACCCAGATTTATTTTGTTTTTTTCACTTCTCTTTTCCAGGGCCCAGAAGAGTGTTGGTACAGAGTAGGTTGTCAATACATTTGTTGAATAAATAAATGAATAAGATTGGTGGTATAGACGGGCAAGTGATTTCAGGTACAGACGTGATTGATGCCTAAGGGCAGCAGCCATCCGTGAGCTTGAGCACTGATAGAGTTTGGATGTTGTCCCCTCGAAATTTCAAGTTGAATTGTAATCCCCAATGTTGGAGGAGAGGCCTGGTGGGAGGTGATTGGATAGTGGGAAGTTCTTTTTTTTTTTTAAGATGGAGTCTCACTCTGCTGCCCAGGCTGGAGTTCAGTGGCACAATCTCAGCTCACTGCAACCTCCACCTCCCAGAGTCAAATGATTCTCCTGCCTCAGCCTCCCGAGTAGCTGGGGCTACAGGCACATGCCATCATGCATGGCTAATTTTTTATATTTTTAGTAGATACAGGGTTTCACCATGTTAGCCTGAATGGTCTCTATGTCCTGACCTCGTGATCTGCCTGCCTTGGCCTCCCAAAGTGCTAGGATTACAGGCGTAAGCTACTGCGCCCGGCCTGGAAGTTCTTTATAGCGGTGTGAAAATGGACTGATACAGGGGTCTTGACCCAGATCCCAGGAGGGGTTTCTTGAATCTGGCACAGGAAGGAATTCAAGGTGGGTGGTAAAGTGCAGTGAAAGAAGAGAGAGTTTATTGGAAGCTACTCTGCTGCAGAGTCACACATTAGCACATTTTCAGAAAGTAAGAGGAGGAACATACCATTTTTGTTTCAGATTTTTGTTATATAGGGGTTTTGTTGATGTGAAGACTAAAGTAAGCTGTGCCAATGTGCAGCTGGGCCAACAGCATGACAAAATTTTATTATTCTGTTGATTTAAACAAAATTATCTTTGGCATTTTAGTGTGCAAGTACATCAAAGCACAACTATAATGATCTTGAAAGCATATCTTGTTATTGGTGTTGGGGACACCTAGACTCTCTGTTGCTGTAGGAGTTTGCCCTTGCAGGCATTACCAAGCTGCTGCCTTTGTTGTAAACACCTTAGGACCACAGGTTGTGACCGGAAAAGAGTATGCCCACTAGTTTTAAGATGGAGTTGATTTCAAAATGTTTTCACTCTGGCTGTCTGAGACTCCTGCTTCCCTAACACCTTGGCCTTTCAAAGTGTTGGGATTTTAATTTA